TCTCTCTATCGCGAGATATCTCTCTCTATCCCCAGATCTCTCTCCTCACGCACACGATATATATCTCTCTCTCACTCTAAACATACAACACACACACACCTCTGTGTGAGAGGAGAACACTATATATAAAAAAAAATATTTTATTAATTTCATTTTTTATATTTTTTGAGACACACACACATATATATTTAGAGAGCGCTTTTACTATATTTGTGTAGAGAGAGAGAGAAAAACGCGACACATAAAAAATATATTTTATTTTTTATATATATATATATATCTTTATATATATATATATATATATATATATATATATATATATATATATATATACATATATATATATATATATATATATATATATATATATAATATAATATAGTATATGTTACATGCATATACCTAATACCTTAAAACTATTTTATACGTCACGTTTTGGTCACTCTGTCTTCAAACAAATTGCAAATAAGTCCTTTCAAAATCTATATTTGAGTTTCCCAAAAAATACAAAATACAAAATTAAATAAAATTTGATTTAATTTAAATTGTTTTCATCCTTGACAGGTAGTTGTGGTTGTTGGAAGTTCATTAAGTGGGCAAGACATATCAATTGAGCTTGTGAATATGGCAAAGGAGATTCACTTAAGTGCCAGATCATCACTTAACATTTCCCAAGGCTTATCACAAGTCATCTCTAAATACCCTAATCTTTTTCTTCGTCCACAGGTTTTTATAACATATTTTTTTTATTAACTTGAAAAAATAGTCGATTTGTTTTAATTTTTCAGAATAACGAAAAATGATACGTACGTTTGTGATATGCTGCAGATAGAGTCGTTGCACGAGGATGGAAGGGTTTCGTTCGGCGATGGCTCTTGGATTATCGCAGACACCATCATATACTGCACCGGGTAAAATTTATATATATTCCAAAAAGTATATATATGAACATGCATACACAAAATGAAATGAAAACGCACGAGATTAGAAGTATTGAATAGTAGTTGCAGTAAAATCGATTCTTAACATAGTCGTATAAAGGGGTTGCATTAAGAAATTCGAAAAAGTTTAGTGATAAGGGATATTAATAAGTATATATACAAAATGTTATTTTATAAGAATGATAACAAGTGGAACTTCGATAAACTAATAATCTCCTTTAAATAATATTTTCTTCTAGTCTCGACTCGAATATTTAATATTTCTCTAAATTAATAGAGTTTTACTAGTTTTGACTGTATTAATTTATAGAGATTGAACTGTAATTAATAAGTTAAAGTGGTGAATTAAATATTGCAGGTATTCTTATTCATTTCCATTCCTTGATACCAAAGGAATAGTAGTAGTAGATGATGATAGAGTTGGACCACTCTTTGAGCACACATTTCCTCCTTTGTTAGCTCCTTCTCTATCCTTTATTGGCATCCCTAGAAAGGTAAACTTTTTTATTTATTTTCTTTTAGATTTTATAATATTCCCATTGAAATATCAAAATTCGGGTGTGGATGTCGAAATGAAATTTTCGATGTCCACAAATTTTGATGCAAAAAGTTTCGGTTTTAGGAATAATATTTTCCATCCCGATTGTGTTATTTTTCAAAAGAAAATTATTTGAATTGAAAGTATGTACACACTATTACTGAAATATACAATCTGATTTTAATTTATGAAAATATTCTGAAAAATTCGGAGTTTCATCACAAAATGTTATTATATACTTATTTATGTTATTTTAATACACTTAACTTATTTACAAAGTTCCTTAAAAAAAACTCAATATCTGAAAAAATTGGAATCGAAATTGATTTTTTAGTTCGTAAAAAGAAAAACTCATCAAAACTATATTTTCAAATAGTAAGATACAATATAATATAAAGTTTGCTAATCTAGGGTTATATGATTAATGGGTGTAGATTATAGGGTTTCCTTTCTTTGAATCCCAAGCAAAATGGATTGCACAACTCCTGTCTGGGAAAAGAGTGTTGCCATCATGGGATTATATGATGCAATCAATCAAGGATTTTTATCAATCAAGGGATGTTTCCGGTATCCCAAAGCACAATACTCATGATGTTGCATCTTTTGAGGTAAATACTTCTACTATCTTTTTACCTTTTTTAGAATATATTTTTGCTTTCCTATTATATTTACAACAAAATGCACTCCTCCACTATAAATTTTTCATTTTCGGACTTTCCCCCTACAAATTTTAAAAAAAGAGAGACCCCCTCCAAAGATTTGTTCTTGTCGCATTTTTGCCGAAGTCACAAATTTTGGTGTATTTTTCGTCGGATTTGCCATTTATCCGTCCAACAAGGAGACTTGTGTCGTTTTATATTTGCATCCAAATCCTAATATCCTTATTTTTTCTAATACATGAAAAACACAGGTAATGTTTAGATACGTTTTGGAGAGTTATTTTCATTTTATTTTGGGCAAATGTGTTTTGAGAGAATAATTGGAAAATGACAGTAATGTTTGTTTATAAGTTGAAAGGAGGCAAAATACACTGTAGCGGTCAAATCATGTTTAAAGGTGTTAATAAAATATATTGTAGGAAAGGAATTTGAAAATTAAAGTGATGTTTGTTTGTTTTTTAGTGAAGACAATATTTATTGTAGCAATTAAATCTTTTTTTATATGGCCACAACATAATTAACTAATTTCATAATTAAAATTAGCTTTTTTTTTCCCAAAATGAATTGCGTCTATTGTGGTCCCAAAATTGTGAGAATCTTCAATTTCTTCTTCAGTTATCAACTATTATAGTTATACATCTCTTAAATGATGCAATGCCCTTCAATTCGATGGATTCATAGCAATTTCGGTGAAAAACACGCCGGAATTTGTAATTTGGGGGCAAAGGCCAAAGAGCAACTAAAACAAAATTTTGAAGTAAGAAGAATTTTTTTTGGAATTTGGTGGGGGGGGGGGTGCTTTTTGTGCAGTTGAAAATTATACACATACTTATGTCAATAAAGTTCTTATAACTTACAAGTTTATAGCTAATTTGTTTTGTGAAGGTCAAACCTCAAGCATAATTTATGCACCAAACCAATATGTGCCTATGTGGGATTTTATGAAATTTAGCTTTAGTGCATATATAATTTCAATGTCTAAGAGAGATATTAAACAAATTAAATGCTAAAAATATAACATGAAACTAATTTCATGTTGCTTCTCCATATGTTTTGCAGTATTGTGATAAATATGCAGACTACATAGGTTTCGCGCATTTAGAAGAATGGAGGAAGGATCTTTGCCTTTCGGCTCTAAGAAATTCCGAAATCAACTTGGAGACGTATCGTGATTCGTACAAACAAGACGAAGAGATGCTTCAAGTTGCTCTCAACAGCCCTCACTTCACTCAACTCGGACCTGATCAAGATTCGACTCAATGAACTACATTCGAGTTTTTTCATAGTAGTAATTAAACAAATTCAAACTCATACGACGCCGAAATGAGTCGAGCAATTTTATTTATTTATTTCTTTTTTAATTAAGACGAAAAGGAACAATTTTTCTTATTATTTTTGTTGACCAATTGTATGAAACATCAGGCATTTGAGGAACAAAGCTGTGAGAAGAGAATATGTTGTGATCACTCTTATTTGTCGAATATATGAAATATATACTTAGAATTTTCAGCCAAACGATTTTAGCTCTGCATTTTTCGAAATCGTTAAGTCAACAAGTGGAACTCATAGCCTTCCCTAAGAAGAGATGCATATGGGCTATAGCAACTAAACATACATAAGCCCATATCTATGTTTATAACACCAATCGAATTAGATTAAAACGTTGATCGAATCAAACCTTAAAGGAAGTCCGAATTTCAAATACTCAAGGGACTATATATAATCATAAGTAGCTTAAGAGGCTGGTTGAATTTGTAGAAAAACAAAAACAAAAATAAAAATTGGTAAGGGTAAAAGTATCATTTAATTAATTTTGGGTTAGATTTTTAACATGAACAAATCTTATGAGGTCAGAAGTGTTTTGTCTTTTCGCGATTGTTAATATCTAAAAACCCGTCTCTAAAAAAACAATTATATCTAAAAATCAATGTTTTGAAATCCGGACCAAATTGGTTGAACCGCGAACCATTGCCTTGTCCTGACTGATTTAGCCGATTGAACCGTAAAATGGAAGCCAAACTAAAAATGGGGTCTTTTTGCACAAAATAGTGCCCAAAGTCGGATTTTTTGCCAAAAAAAATAAGATGGCTAAAAACGACTTATTTTTACTGTCTAATTGACAAAAAACTTAAATCAAAATACAAAACTTTGAAATTGGAATTTGGAACGTGTTTTCACATACTTTGACTTCAGCCCTAGCACAAGAGTCACGAAAGGCTTGATTTACGTTTCAATTGGATATGAATAATGGTGAATAATGAAATAATGTGTATAAAACAAAGTAGGCTTTGTTCATTATAAAAAATAAATATAAATGGCCAGAAAAATTATATATAATTGATTTTAAAATAAAAATGAAAAAACGCGGTTGAACGCTGGTTGAACCGGTTCAACCATGACCAGGGGCGGATCTAGGGGGTGGCCAAGTATGCCATGGACCACCCCAAGAAACGAAAATAAATTTGCCTTAGTGGCAAAGATCTCCAAATTGTTAGGTGAGGTCAATGGGTTCGACTCCATTATGGTACAAAAAATTATTGCTTAATTTTTTGTCTAAATTTCTTTTGAGCCCTCTCCCATAAACACATTATATTATATCTATATTACTATTTAGTCCACCCAAAATTCAAATTATACAAAAAAAGTCCTAACTTTTTCTTTTTTTTAGCCCCTCTCTCCAAAAACACATTATATTATATCTATATTATTATTTAGTCCATTCAAAATTCAAAATATAGAAAAAAAGTCCTAAACTTTTTCTTCTTTTTTAGCCCGTCTCCCCAAAAACACATTATATTATATCTATATTATTATTTACTCCACCCAAAATTTCAAATTATACAAAAAAAGTCCCAATTTTTTTCTTCTCCTAATTTATCAAAAAAAAAAAAAAGTTTCAATTTTTTTTTTTCCCTTCTCCTAATTTATCCAACAAAAAAAGGTTCGAATTTTTTTTTCCCGGGGGCGCTGCCCCCGAACCCCCAAAAATTTAACCCCATTATACAGTAAATTCTTGGACTCGGCACAACCGGCATACCCTGAATTTTCGTCCTGGATCCGCCACTGACCATGACCCAGCAGTTTGTCCGGGTCGATGTCCGGTTCAGTTTTCAAAACATCGCTAAAAGCAGAGACATAGAGAAACAGAGAATAGTTCATTATTTACTTTGTACTTATGTCACAATTCAAGAAATGTTATGGGTAATGAACTTGAAGCTCTACACAAAGTCTCACTGCAGCATTGTTACCAACAAAATTGGTAATTTTTTCTCTCTCTAAAAATATGAGCTTTCATGTTTAATTACTTACAGAAAAGAATCATGACAATCAAAATCCTATACAACTGTAAAAAAAAAAAACGTTTCTATATCAACTTTTCTAAAACAAAATTCTTTATATCTTCTCTACAAAATATCACACCGAGCGAACAAAAGAGCCATCTACAGAATCACTATGGCCACAACAAATCCTAAACAACATACCCAAAACCTCCTTCATATTAGGCCTAAAATGCGGTATCTCCGCCGTGCACCAAATCCCGACCCGGAGCAACTCCCTCATCTTCTCCGCACCTTCCGCCAATCCCGACACCAATAGAGCCACCGGAATATTCCCTCTACCGGGCCCCACACCTCTCCCATCTCCCATCACCCTCTTCGCCCACTCGACCAGGCACTCCTCTCCACCGTCCACCGCCCGCCTCCCCGTGGCTAGCTCCATCGCCAGCACGCCGTAGCTATAAACATCCCCCTTGGTAGTCGCCTGCCACGTCTGCCCGTACTCTGGGGCCACGTACCCCACCGTCCCGGCCACCATCGTGCTGACGTGGCTACCCCCAACGTCCACCACCCTCGCGAGCCCGAAATCCGTCACTCGGGCCCTGCCGCTCCTATCCAGTAGCACGTTGCTAGCCTTCACGTCTCGGTGGACCACGCTCGGGTAGCATTCGTGGTGCAGGTAGACCAACGCCCGCGCCACGTCCACCGCCACGTCCAACCGCCTGCTCCAGTTGAGCGTCAGGCGGTCGGTTATCATGTCCTCGAGTGTCCCGCCTTCCATGTACTCGTACACGAGCAACTTCTCGGCTCCGTCGAGGCACCACCCGTACAGAGGCACCAGGTTCGGGTGGGGCCGCCACCCGAACCCGTTCCCGCTAAGAACTTCCATCTCAGCTTTGAACTCTCTCTCTCCATCCACGCCTTCCGTTCGGAGCTTCTTCACTGCCACTTCTCTCCCGTCGGGTAGTACTCCTCTGTAAACCGTACCGGACCCACCCCTACCTATGATCCTGTCTTCCGAGAAGCTTCTAGTCGCCTTCAAGATATCGGAATGCGTGAATGCCGTTTTATCCAGTCGGATGACCTTGATCGTGTCCGACGTCGTCCACGGTGAAGATCCGCCCGAGCTCGATGCGAGTTCGTGACGGTACTTAGAATTTTGCAATAGATACCCCGGTGAGTCTATCGGGCTCTTCACTAGGAGGCAAACTACAAGTGTCATTAGCCCGAACACCAAAAACGCAAGTATCAACGACAAAACCACTAGAAAAGCTTTGAAACCTCTAGCGTTCTTATTCTCCGCGTGCTTGCTCACCGCTTCACCGTTTGAATCGTTTGTCATGAACGCGGGAAGAAGTAAAAGCGGGTCCCCCACGAACGACCATTTCTCGAACGTCGCCATCTGGCCGGTCGATGATATAACGCCCGATATAAACGGGTTGTAGGATATGTTGAACTTGTTCAAGTCACTCAAGTGGTTCAAGCTGGTCGGAAACACACCGGAGAAGTTGTTGTACGACAAATCAAGATTCTGCAAGCACTTCAAATTGCCGATCTGCATCGGAATCTCGCCGGAGAACACGTTCTTCGATATATTTAGGACAACCAAAGGCAACTTTCCAATGTCGGAGGGAAGATTGCCGGTAAATAGGTTTTGACCCAAGTGGACCATACTGAAATTCAGCATCCTACCGATTTCCAACGGGATCTCACCGGACAACAGGTTGCCACTGAGCTGGAGGTACCCTGAAATCTGAGACGTCCGGATATTCGAACCCGGCAGACAAACCGAAAACATACCGTAGCCTTTGAGGATCGTGTCCCATAAACTCCGACACCTCTTCCTCGTAAGAAGATCGTACACAAATCTAAACGGAGGATAATCCGCCGGTATCCACCTCATCATCGCCAAGCATTCTCCCGAGCCAGCTGGCACCCGGTCGTTCTGCCTGTTGAGCATAAACGTAGGCGTCGGATCACTCCCAATGCTCGTCAATTGAGACGGGATCGTACCCGAGAGTCGATTATTCGCGAGATTCAACCACAACAAGCTGCTGCAGTTTCCTAATTCTTTCGGGATTGGACCTGTGAGTGAGTTATTAGCAAGCATCAACCATAAAAGTGATTTTAAATTCCCTAAGCTCGAAGGGATCGATCCGTTTAAATTATTGAACGAGAGATCGAGCGCTTGAAGTCCGGACAAATTTCCGTACTCTGACGGAATAATCCCGGTGAACTGATTATATGCAAGAATCAAGAATTTCAAGCTCGACATACGAGATATGTCGACGGGTAACGGACCCGAGAAGTTGTTGAAACTCAAGTCCAAACGGGAAATCTGAGGTAAATTGAGAACACCCGACGAATAAATACCGCCCGTGTATCCGTTTCGATGCAGCAGAAGAAATTTAACCTGCGTTAACCGTCCGAAAATGTCTTGTACATCTCCCTTGAAATTGTTCCTGCTTAAATCAAGAAACACCAATTTTCCGAGCCCGACTAAACTCTCCGGAATCTCTCTCGAAAAGTTGTTGTTCCCTAAATAAAGTGCTTCGATATTAGAAAGCAATCCGATCTCGTTCGGAATCAGCCCTGTGAACTTGTTCCCCCACAAGGTAAGCTCCTTCAAATCCTTGCAGTTTGAAATTTCGGGAGGGAATTGTCCGAAGAAGTCATTTTCGGACAAATCCAACGCCCGTAAGCTGCAGTTCGGAGAGAAAATCGAGGCGGGGACCACACCGGAGAATCTGTTCCTCGACAGGGAAATTTCGATCATTACATCGAATCCAGGCCACACATCACCCGTCAGTTCGTTCGAGCTAAGATCGAGATACTTCAAATTCGGGCACTTCTCGAAGACGGGCCCCACTTCGCCGGTGAAGTTGTTGCTTGAAATATTCGCCACCAGTAAATTATCGCAGTTTTCGGGTATGGCTAACCGGATGTCGTCGACTCGAATTCTGTTGAGGGAGAGATCGAGAATTTCCAAATTCCATAACCCCGTGAAGTTGAGGTCACCGTCGATGATGTTGTGCGATAAATTCAAGAATTTAAGGTTCCGACAAAGGCTTAAATCTGCCGGAATGCTGCCGCCGACTGTGTTTCCCGACAGGTCGAGGTGGGTGAGCTCTGTTAAGGCGGAGAAGTTGTCGAAGATGTCGCCGGCGATGTTGCAGTCGGAGAGGTCGATTTCGGTGACGCGGTTGTTGCTGCAGGTAATCCCGGGCCAGTTGCATGGTGACGTGTCGGTAGGATTCCATTGTATGTATCTTACTTGATTGGCGAAAACAGGGTTACCTTTCTCGAGAAACGAACGCAGGTTCAGTAGTACTTGTCTGTCTGTTTCGACTGAGTCTCCTATTACAAGCTTCCCTGTAGTATTATTATTTGCGTCAGATTCAGTTTTTTTAGTTACTGTTGCTAACAGTTCGTTCGCAATACGAATGGATTTTTATAATAACAAAATCATCCTCGAAAACCCAACTTGAATAAATAACGTGACACTCTCTCTCTCTCTCTACAAATTAATTAGAGAGAGAAAGCTTTGCGAGTTTTATCAAGTGTGTATGTATACCTGTGATTAGGATGAAGAAGATGAGTAAGGCTATACGGAAGAGAAAATGTTCGGTTTCGTCTTCTGACATGTTCGGCTGGTCTGCTGCTCTCTTCCTCGTACGTTTGTGCTTTGTTCGAAAATTGGGATTTGTCAGATGGGTTGTTGGGGTTTCATGTTTTTAGATTGATGAAAAAAAATTGATGACAGAAAAAAAAAAAGAATGAGAATGAGAAGAATGCGAAATTTCAAAGAAAATAATTTGGAGTTTAATATATTTTGTCAGGCTAGTCAAATGTCGTGAAAGTGTGGTTGAATATTAGAGAGAGAATATTAGAGAGAGAGAGGGCCTGCAGATGGACAAAGCCAAACCAAACTTGGAACATATGCTTAATTAATTCAAATATTATAACTGGGTTTTGTTTTTCGGGAAAATTGCAATTCACCCCCTATAAATTCCTAATTTTCGCACTTTACCCCTCAAAATTTGGAAATGTGAATGCCCCTTCAAAATGTTATTTTTTGCCCCAAATTATTGTTAGGGGCCCATGGTATGATATTGGTTTGGTTGGGGATTAGGGATTCGAGCTGAAGGCTAAACTTTCGAGGGGTTTGGAGACAGGTTCGACTGATTCTGGTGGCTGCTCGGCAACAATTGCGTGAGTCTTGGACGAGGACATAATCTTGAGAAATGAGCCGTTCATCGACTCAAAGCTCTTCAACCTGTATTTGTCATTCGGTTTATGGCTTACATTTTATTTAATTTTCTTTATAATCTGGAATTCTAATATTAATTCTACCATTCACCCTTTCCCCATAGGATTTATTTTATCTATTAATTGTATTTGCTATTGCCTTGTACAATTAGATGTTCGACGGGTACCCAACAATTATTCACTGGAATTGAGTGTGTTTGTTGCACGTTGACCATTTAAATATTGTACCTTGTCCGTTAAAAATATTATTTTTCTGCACGTTACCCATTTAAAATGTTATTTTTGTTGCACAATGGACAACAAAAATGAGCTTTCAGGGCAAAGTGCAGCCAAAATAGTATTTTGAAGGTGGTTATCCACTTTTTATTTTTTATTTTTTATTTTTAGGGGGAGAAAGTGCAAAATAGAAATTTTGTAAGGAGTGAAGTGTAATTTATCCTTGTTTTAATAACAGATTAAACTGATGATGAATTATTATTGAAATAATAGAATCGAAATTGGTCGTAATTTGAATATTTTTTGGTTAGAGTAATGTTTATTATTTGTTCATCTGTGGTGGAAAAGACTAAAGAGGAAGATGTTTATAATTTTGTGACCGAGACTGAAAGGGGCAGCGAGGAAAAGCCGCCCAAGTTGACCGGAATATCTTTATGTTCTTACGGGCTGAATTTTTTAATCAAAGTTGAAAGAAAAGTCGTAAGCACACATTTTCTATTTCCTTTCCGTGGTACTATCATTTTTAGGCTACATTTGAATTTCGGTACAAGGATTTTAAATGAATGAATTTAAATGGGTAAAATTCATTTTGCAGCTTGCATCTATGTACTACTATCCCAAAGGTACCATTTACCCTTTGACGTATGAAAAAATCAAATGCCTCAGTAAAATTTTTTTACGGCCACTCGTCAAACTCTTATCGGTATTAAATTTAAGTAAGCAATGATTATTTTATCCCACTTTATTTTGATAGAATTTTCTATTTCTTTTCTAGGTTGTTTCACTTTCAAGGATTGTTGACAATATTTAGCGTTCTTTGAAAGTATGGTTTTTTGTCAATTTAGTGTTTGATTTTTGGGGTTTTCAGCTTCCTTTTTTGAGGGATTTTGCAGTTATAATATGAAAAACTTTGTTTCTAATTTTCAATTCTTTCAAAGTAGGGTTCCATTTAAATTTTAGGGTTTCTTTTAAAAATTTAGGGATTTTTAGTTTTTTTTTTTTTTGGTTTATACATTCATAAATATGCTTCATTTGCATTGATTCGATTTTTCAGTTTTTTTTTTTAATGCAAAAACGAAAGAAAAAAGGTTTGAAAAGAGTTAAAAATAACTGAATAAAGTGAAGGAAAAAAAAAGAGTGAAAATAGTGAAATTTTTGATGAAAAATGGCCAAAACTAAGTCTATAGATTTTTTCTGGTATTTTCGTTAAAAAAAAAAAAAACCAACAACTCTTTGCAACATGCGGTCAAAGGGTATGACTAACGGAATCAATAAAAAGGTTACAACAGGGGGTGTTTGATGTTTTCCGACAATAGGGAGGTAATTTATAAATGATACATCTCGCATACTACATGGCTGCATAAAATGAATTTTACTCAAAATTAAAATGAGTTTAAATGAGGAGGATTAGAAATAGACACAACCACGGGGTGGGCTGACCGGTTCTAGGTCGGGAGAAAGGGGGAACTGGAACTGAACTAGCTAGAGGCGGTTTTGGGTCTGGTGGAGACCCACCAGTTCCGGGCCAAAACCGGACTTTTGTTTTGATTTGTCCTTTTTCTCATTTAAAATAAATTAATTAATTAGACAAAATAAAAAGGTAAATTTAAACAACTTCAGCTTAATTGATTCAAACCTTATGTTCGATTAAGGTCTTTGAATAAATTTTAAATATCATAATTTTGATTAGAAGCTTACGATTAATACGTTTTTGTCAATAGTTGAACTTAATCGATTGAAATATTTGGAAAAAAGGTTTAAGAATTGAAAGGATTTGAGCTTAATCTATAAGGACACCATTTTCTTCTAATAAACTAATAGTCCAACCTCGATCAATTTTACAAGAGTACCCCAATATTTTTTCATTAAAGTTCACAACCAAATTTAAGCTAATTTTCACAAGGTCACAACCAATTTTAGAAATTCACTGCCATGTGTTGTTGAATACTAAATTTTCAGAAAATTTGTTTCTAATCAGCCAAAGTTTCAAAAGTGTTGTTCCAAATGAATAAAGTTGTTATTAATTTTCACCCAGTTTTTGAAAGTTCATCGATATATTTTGTTATAGCTAAGTTTTCAGTAGTTCACTATCAATTTTCTGCTAATTTTCATAAGTTCAATTTTCAGCTAATTATCAAAATAATATTAATTTTATTATTACACAGTCAATATTATTATCTTGACTTGTCAATACACCAAATAATAAAAGGAAACAAAAAGATATATTAATGTGGTAAATAATAATATTATTATATTAGACAGTAATATTATTGTATGTGGTACATAGTAACATTAAAATACAGAAGATTTTTTTTTTCAAAAAAAAATAACATTGGAGGTCAGAGTTGACCGTCGATCAACAGCTGAAATTTATTTATCCAAAATAAAAAAAAAATCAAAAGAAAAAATATCAATGCCGAGTCGCCGATGATGGGTGTTGACCCCCGGTCGACGGCGGGATTTTTTTCTATAGAAAAAAAATAAACACAACGTTGATCGCCGGTCAACGGCAACAAAAAGAATTTCAGTAAAAAAATCTTTATTTTTCAAAAAATAAATTAAAAAGTTAAAATTGATGAAATTGGAGTTAAATTATGGATTACAATTATGAATTAAGTTTTAAAGGTTGAGGGCTAATTTTTTTCATAAATATTAGCTAGGGTTGCATTTATTTGTAATAAATGTTGAAGGACTTACCTTATTTGCGAAAGAGAAAAACCACATGAAACTAAATTACTAAAGATATTTGGATATGACTTTCTCATAAAAACCATTATTTTAAGGGGTTAATTGAAATAGCCCCCTAACTAGCTTATATAATGTGGGATTCACCAAAGACTTTTTATGTTTTTGAGTAAAACTCATTAGTTGTACTTTTTTTTTTTTTTTTCAGCGATCGCTTGGGTGGTCAGAGCACCGATTAGCTGACTCAGCATTAATTAATTTCAATCAGTTGACATTCGTTTTTTTTTCTTTTATCTCTTTTTTTTTTTCCTTTTTATGGCGGCGGGTCGTCAGAGCTCCGGTAAGCTGACTCAACATTAGTTAACTTTAACATTAGTTGACATTTGACATTCCATTTTTTTTTCTTTTAATTTGTTTTCGGTGGTGGGTCGCCGGAGCTCCGCTTAGCTGACTCAACGTTAGTTAACTTCAATATTAGTTAACTTTAACATTGGCGGCAGCGGTTAACCGGAGCTAACTGGAGCTCCAACGACCCGCCGCCAGAAGAAAAAAAAAAAAAAAAAAAAAAAACTGACTGGACTGGACCGGTCAGACCGTCCTGGTGGGCGGGTGGGATGGGATGAGTGGGTTGAGTTTATCTCAAATAGAAATATGTAGGACTATTTTGGGGATTCATATTTTTTTGGGTTTATTCAAAATGAAAGTTTAAGGGTGAATCTATTTGTAGTGAAACTTGAATTTGTGGGTCTATGTCGAATTCACACGTATTTTAAAGTACGACATTAAGCGCATTAATATTTTTTTTCCAACAGCAAGCGTGTTAATGTTTTAATTTGCCCATTAGAAGGGTATTTGGAGGAAAAAAGAAAAACAAAAAAGGTAAAATAACTGAAAGTAGTTTTATTAATAATGTGGATTCCAATACGAAATTGAAAGGGAGTAACTTAAAGCAGTATAGGCAATATCGCGGTATACTATGATATGTATTGCGATACAATACGATTTCTATGGAAACAATACAATTCATCATATGTATCGATTGTAATCAAATACCACTAAATATCAGTCGATATCGCGATATGATACGATATTCAATACAATACGATAATTGCGATATTTGTTTTCAGGGTGATTTGTGCAATTTTCGGCACATATAGGGGTGATTTGTGTGATTTTCAGCACTTTAAGGTGTGATTTGAGCAATTTTCAGAATATTTGGGGGTGATTTGTGTTTTTAGCACATTCTTTTTTATATAATAACTAGTAATTCACCCGTGCGATGCACGGGATCAATTATTTTTTTAAAAATATTTTGGATAAAATAAAACGAACGAAAACTTTGAACAGTTGACATACATGTAAATAATACCCAAAAAAAATATTTTATTGAATCAAAGTATACATTAGTTTGTGATTTACTTTCACATTCGCTGAAAATCTTTTGTGCACACAACATTGCTCGTAAAGTTAGTTATATCGCCCGATTCTAAGTTGATAAATATATTTATCTGAAATCTACTTTTAACTCTGGACATTGCGGCATACAATTGCCTATGCCACCCTAATATTGACACTAATATTACACTAACAACAACTAGTAATACTAATACTAAAACCAACATTGATAATACTAATACCAATACTAATATTAATACTAAAACCAACAATAATAATACTAATATTAATACTAATCATAATATTAATACGATGATTAATACTAATAGTCTAATATTAATATTAATATCAACACTGCTATTAACCAACCCTCAATAGGAGAGTTGGTACATAACATTTACGAATAGTGTAAAGGTCTAGGGTTCAAGTCTCCACTTCCCCTACTTTCCCTTGTAATGGTCTTAAATTTACTCAAAAAAAAA